GGTAAGGTTCCAACTTCATTCTTTTGCATGGGGATATCCGGTTTTCCCAGAAACATCTGTTGGAAAGACTGTCTTTTCCCCATTGAATGGCCTTGGCACCCTTGTCAAAAATCATTTGACCATATATGCGAGGGTTTATTTCTAGGCTCCCTATTCTGTTCTGTTCTATTCTATTCTATTCTATTCTATTCTATTCTATTCCATTGGTCTATCTGTCTTTATGCCAGTAGTCATTTGGACCATTCTCCTACTGAAGACCACTAAAAAAAGTTGGACAACTATATTTTTTCTTCCTTAAAAGTGTTAAACTGCTAACAAGATAGTGACTACTTATTAGCAATTACTGATCCAAGATCAAAGAGAGGACAGAAATCTAGAGATGAGTTTAACAGCAGATTAGGCCTAACACTTTCTCATGGGGATGTTTGCCAGTCCTAAAAAAGTAGCTGAGGGATGAGGTATGCTTTTGGTAACATTGTGGGGTTAGGGAGACAGAGGTTGAAGTGCAGGCCTGCCAAGGTAAGCACGATAAGCTGACCTTGGAGGGCAGGTTGTACCTTAGGAATAAAGCGAATGAGAAACAATTCCAACCTGACACTGTACCTTGGCTTTGAAACATCTGGGTGGCTCAGAAAATCTCAAGCTCTAAAACTGAATTAAGGTGGTTCTGAATGTTTAGTGCCTCCAAGTACATGGCAGAGAAAATGCCAATCCTCTCTAGAGGAAGGTACCATTCTAGGCCTCAAATTATTTCCTCATATAGATGTGTCGGGCATACTATCAAATGTAATCAACACCAAAGAGAAAAAAACATGAGTGAGAATCAACAGAAACCACAAATAGAAACAGATCCAGAGGGAGTCTAAGTATGAAAGTTATCAGACACAGTCTGTAAAGCAACTATGCTTACTACGTTAAAGGATATAAAAGCCAAGCTTGACATCTTAAGCAGGGAACTAGAAACTATAAAAAGTGACAGGACAATTTTGAAAAGAATCAAAAATTCTAGAACTAAAAATACAATAACTGAAATTAGGAAAATGGTCTGGTTTAAAACTAGATTAGACATAGCTGAAAGAAAATCAATTAATTACAGGGTAGAACAGAAGAAAGAAGATACGCAGCACCGATAGAAAAAAGATGGAAAATAGAAGAGGGGAAGAAACATTAAGGATACAGTGAGAAGAAGGCCCAGCAAACAGATAACTGGCATCCCAGAATGAGGGGACAGAGAATGCAAAGGGGCAGTGTCTGAGGAGAGAATTTTCCAAAATTGATAAAAAGACATCAATCCGTATCCAAGAAGCCCTACGAATGCCAAGCAAGACAAATAAAAAGAAATGCACATTTAGACACATCAGAATGACATTGCAGAACACCAAAAACAAAGAAAAATCTTCTAAGAAGAGAAAGTCAGAGATAACATTAGCTTCCAAGGAGCATCTGTTGGACTGAGAGGTGACTTCTCAACAGCAAGAACAGAACCCAGAAAACAGTGGAACAGCTTTCTCATGTAAAGAGAGAAAATAACTGCCAATCTACAATCCTACAGACGATAGGAAGCTCAACATAAATTCATAAGGATGGGGAAGACAGGACAGGAAAAAACAGTAACAAAAATCCTGAAACTTAGAAAGCAGATGGATGAGTAGAAACTGACTTCACAGACCCAAGAGAGTGGAATCCTAAACTAGCAGTGGGGGAAGTTAAGAACCATCACAAGCTACAAGGCAAAATTTTTATAAGGCTCAGGAACAAAAGAGCATCAATTACTTCTGCAACTGGGTGTGAGTGAGGGTTGGCTAAAATAGAGGATTGGTTAGATGCTGCTTAGGAAACAAGTCCCTAAATGTTCCTCTCCTACCACTCAATCACTGGTGACTCTCTTTCCCCCATCCCAGCAGAAGCTTGGAGGCTGATTCTCAAGAGAAGAGAAAATCGAGTCTCTGGACTTCAGGAGGCCAAAGCCAGGGAGATTAAGGAAGCTTATGCACAGTGAACTTCGCATATGGATATCCTCAGCACTCCGCCACTCAGCTCCTGGAACCAGCTGGGCCTTTGCTGTCCAAGTGGTAAGGGTTGGATGGTCCTCCCCTGGGGATCTGGCTGGCCTAAGAGAGCAGGGTGTCCCCAACAAAAGACCCACCTGACCATTCTACAGTAAAGCTCCAAGTCAACAAGCCCCACCAACATGCTCAGAACTACCTATTAGCTTTTCTGTCTCCCACTTTTAAACGTAAAGATTGTTGAACATTAAAGGAAAACGTTATAAGTGAAAGGGAAACTAGAACTAACAGGAAAAATGAAAACAACTTAGAGGAAACAGGATGATGCAGCAGGAAGAATTCAAAAACCAGTAGCAAAATTATAATAAATATCCTTAAAATGGTATTGCATCCATGAAACAAGATTGGGATTGGGTGCTGAGAGCACACGTCCTGCAGATCGTGTCTATTGGCCCTCAAAGCTCCATTCTCACCCTTTCAAGGTCTCGTCCCTAACACAAGGGGGTTAGAAGGCAACAGTTGGGTTCTCAGACTCCCTTGCAGCTGCTCTGGCTAGGTTCTGCCAATGGAAAATGCTGGTGGGGCCTGGCAGGTGGGAGTTGAGACATTTCTCTGTTGTTTTGGCAGTGCCTTTGGCAGCAGAAGCAGCAGCGGATGACAGGAGCTTCCTCGGTGACAGTGGTGGCTGCAGCAGCATTGGCTGGGGCGGGAGCTCCTTATTCCTACTCAGTAGCATTGGTGTGGTTCTAACGCAGTGGTGGCAGGGGCCATGCTTCCAGCCGAGCAGCAGTGAGTGTGGGCTTTGAGCATTGGAAGCTTCCTGATCCTGGGGTAGCGTCCTCTCTTCCCTTTAGCTCTTCCGGCCCTCTTGACATCATTTAACCAATCCCTTGCATTAAATTCCGCTTGACTTGAAATATCTAGATTGGTTTTTTTTTGTTTTTTTTGAGTAAATACTGATTGGGATGCTATAAAAAAGAAACATTCAGAAAATAAGAGAGTTCTTGGATATTAAAAAATGTGAAAGCAGAAATAACAAACTCAATGGAAAGGTTAGAACATAATGATGGTGAAATCACCCAGAAAGTAGAGAAAAACAAAACCCAAACTCCAACAACATCAACAGTGTAAGTGCTCAAAGTTTACAGTAAATTGTAATGATATCATATAACATTATCATGGTGTAAGTTACTTATTCTCACGTTACTGTATAAATACTCTGTGGTGCTGAGCACACATCCTGCCTGGCATTTGCATGTGACATGTGACCATGTGTTACAGTGGGGTCCTGGTTAGTACAATTTTAAGAGAGCAGAGAAGTGTCAATTTAAAGAAAACTAGAGGAAGAGTATAATCTTCTGATTAATAACGTACTGACAAGAATTTTAAATATAGTCATAGATAGGTAAGCTTTATTCCAATGTCTACATAAAAATGAGTTGATGTCGAACAGGAAACGGTTTTCCCAAAGGGTTAAAATCTATCACACAACAGAACTTGGTCCTTTTCCCTTTCGTTTGTCTCTCAGTTCAGTTGGCTGACACATCGTTATTAGGGTCCGCCCTCACTAATCATTTTCACCACACACAATATCTAAAAGTCTTCGGGTGGCACTTCCCATTTCTCTGGAAATCTCTTAAGCTGCTTTCAGTTACAAGAGATGAGCAAGGTTTTTATCTGCTCACGCTCTACTCTACTGGAGACAAAAACACATCCCTGAATTCTCTTGTTTAAATTGTGGCTGTTGGCCAAGTGTCCAAATGAAGAACTTAACGCTAACACACAAAGGACACAGTATAATCTCTGTATAATAGTGACTTCGCTTCAACCTTTTCTCATTAAAGAATTATTTTTATTATCTCTCCACAAGGGAGTTATAAAAAATACCTGTAAAAACACTGAAAAGGCTCTTAAAAGAGCCTGGAATGAAAAATTCTGCAGTATAAATTACGATACATCGTCTATGACTTGCAAATAAGAATAAAATAAATTCTACAAGCTAGAATTTCTGAATGATTTTGATAGGAATTTACCAGAAGGAGCCAGGAGCCATCAAACCTTAACCATTTCCTGTTTTCATCCCAACTGAGTTTTTGAAAAGCTATATAATCTGTTGACAGGCACAATCCAGACAGGAACTTGCTGCTGCCACTAATGATGAAATCAATCTGAAGGACAGAGATTTGTATGCTGGACGCGCCAGGCTCTTCCATGCAACTGGCTGAAGTGGTCTTCTCTTATTTTTTCCCTTATGCTTTAAATAAAAGTAAATATACATATGGTAAAAAATTTAAATGGTACAGAAAGATCTAAAATAATCAGTAAATATCCTCTTCTCTCACAACCTAGAAAATCTGATGTCTTCCAAATCATCAGGTGTGTGAATAATTTGCAAAGTGAAGTCAAACTTGGAGTCTCTTCATCTGAAAATTATTGTCAGGACTTTTGGAATGTGTTGATTCTGTCATGTATTACCTCTGTTACTGAGGAAAGCCATGCAGTCTTCTCCTTCTTAAAAAAACCTAATTACAAAAGCAACACACACACTCTGCTCAGAGACAGCAAGTCCAGGCAGCACCTTGTACTCCGTGATCTGGTCCTAGTTACAGGCAGAGTCCCTGGTATCATCCCTGAAATACAGGAATCACAATTACTAACAAGGCATTTTCAAAAATAAGAACTTTGTTTTAATCAAAATGAGGTCATCTGGTCCTTGTAAGATGGAGGGGATTCACTCTGTCAGAGATTCAGGTTGTCTGGTCATTACTTAAAGGGCATGAGCCACAGAATCCCAAGCATTCAAGTCAAAACTAGGTCAAACCTTTCCTAGAGAACAAATGGAAGGCGAGGCAGCAAAGGACTTAAAGGATGGAGAAGGAAGATTCCTTCACAGAAACTGCCACCACAGTGATGAGAAGCTAGGTGTTTTTCCCCCAAAGTGCACTCACTCTCTGGTGAGCAGGAAAAGCTTACAGAGTCACGGGTGGCAGGAGCTCAGCCGAGCCCTTCCTGAATGCCTCGGATCCTCCTGGCCAGCTGCACATCCTTCGGGAAGAGAGTGACACGGCCGGCATGTAAGGAGAGGAGATAGGCATCCTCAAAGAGATGAACTAGAAATGCTTCTGCTGCCTGCGGACAGAAAGAAAAGCAGAGAGACTGACACAGACGAGGGGGCATGGGCTGCTTTCTGCTGAGAGACCTGCTAAACTCAGTCCCTAAGGGCTCAAAGGACTGCGGGGAAGGATTATTCACAGAATGAGACTGAACTTTGCCTGGGAATTCCACTACCACCAAATGAGAACCTAACCTCCAAACCCTGGGTGTTCCTTGTTCTTTTCAAGGAGGTGAGATGTAGCCTTGCCTTTCTCCCATACTCACCCCTCACCCAACTGGACCTTGGCCCCCATCTTACCTCTTGTAGGGCCAACAGGGCCTGGGCTTGCCAATTGAAGTCCACACCACGAGTGAATATAACACATATTTCTCTTGCCTGCGAAGGAGTGGGGGTGGGGAGCAAGGGAGAAGGGGAGTGGGGAGGAGTAGAGAGTAAAAGGAGGTTCAAGAGAAGACAGACTCTCTCCGTGAGTCTCCGTGAATCTTCATTTCCGTTATTCCTTCCTGGCCCTTAATCATAGAACCTAACTAGTAGCTGGTGTCAACTCCAGGGAGCTTAGAGATTGGCCCGTCTCTCCTCATTGGTGGTGGGGAGAGGAGGAGACAATCTCTCAGGGCAAGACAAGGGATGAAAGGGTGGTTGGATGACAGAGCTCCTTGTATGTAATCAAAGAACACAGTTCAAAGGTGGCAGGGGTTAGAAATTAATTCCATAAAGAATTAGAAGGTGCCCTTGGTGGGCTCATGTTTTCAGAAGATGAAGAGTCCCCGACCAGGCTAGGGAAGAGGTCCCTTGCCATTTGGGCAAGAGGCGATAGGGGCCCAATACCTGGGAAATTTAAAGAAAGGAGGCGGCATGGGGCTTGGCGGGAAGCTCCCTGGAGCTCACCAGGCGGCCAAAGGGGTTCTTCCTTAACAACAGGTGTGTGCTCTTCTGAAGAGTTCGGATCTCCTTCAGAACCCGGTATCTCCGGCGAGCAACTTGACGGGAGGGAGCACCTGAACGAAAGAGTTGGGTCATAGAGCAAAATGCAGTGGAAAACGGGTGGTGCATTGCAACCTGGCTGTCAAACTACCAAATCGTAGACTGTATATAATAGGCTCCCCAAAAGCAGGGCTTTTTGTCTATCGTAGTCATTGCAGTTATCTTCAGCAACTGGAGAACAGTGGTTGGTGCTAAATAAATTTTTGTTCAATGAATGAATAAGTGATCCTTTGAGGGTCCTATTGACCCTCAGTGATGATCCTCTGAGGGTCTTATTTTAAATGCCGACTCTTCCATGCAGCCTTTCCTGACTCCCAATCCCTTCCAAACCGATGGGTCACTTCCCTCCTCCGGGCCCACAGTACTCTGTGCATCTCCTCTGTCTTTCCCACCTGGACTGGAAACCCAGTTTCCAATTTTGTTTTTAGGGTTTTTTTGGCCCTGCCGCGCAGCACGTGGGATCTTAGTTCCCCAACCAGGGATCGAACAGGCGCCCACTGCATTGGAAGCACAGAGTCTTAACCACTGGACCACCAGGGAAGTCCAATTTTTAGGTATTTTTTAAGAGCTGGAAGGAATCTGAGAGATTATCTAGTACAATTCCCTTGTCTCTGTTATCCTGAGGCCCAGAGAGGTTAAGACAGTTGGCCAGAGCACGTTAGCGGCCAAGGTGGGAGCTCAGAAGTGGCATAACTCAGTGCCAGTGTCGGGCCTTTGGGCTATGAAGTCAGAGCCTTTGGCTCAAAGCCTAGTTTCAACAACAACAAAAAAAGACAAAAAAATCTTAAAATCATTCCTAAAAGTAGAAATCAAAAAAGTCAAACTCTGATCAGAAATTAAAAACACAAGAATGTAAAAAATAAAAATTCTTCTAACTCTCTTGTTAAAGAGGACAATTCACTGAAATTAGACTATTTAGAAATGAATAAAAATAAAAAGTCTACACCTTAAAACTTAAGCGATATAGCCAAATAGTCCTAAAGGAAAATGTACAGCCTCAAGATCTATCTACGAGAAAACAAGAACATTGAAAGATAATTCCGCTAAGTGTTCAACTCACATATTAGGAAGAGAATTATTAAAGTAAATCAAAAGAAGGTAGAGTAAAAGAAATATTAAAGATAATAAACTAACTTAATGAAAAAAAGTGTAAAACAAAAACAGTACAGCTGGCTCCATAAATTAAACCAAGGACCAATAAAAACAAATGAACCTCTGAGAAGTTGAACAAATAAAAAAAAGAAAAAAAATCCCCACGAAAACTAACATTTTGAAGAAGTGTTATTCATGGTCTAGCCAAGAAGAAAGAATCCACACCAAGTAGTTGCATAGAAGGGATTTAATATGGTGAACTAATTGCCAAGTGTTAGACAAGCTGCCAAGAGCAAATGGGGACAGAGGGGCAATGCAGAGAGGTGCTGGCAGTGGAGACTTTATCCCAGGGGCCAAAGAAACAGGGGACTTTTTAGAAAGAGGGAGGCCCTACACCCAGGAGATGAGCTACTGGCACGTGCCTCCCTCCTCACCACCAGTCCCCAATCCAGTCGCCGGAAGCAGCCTTTAATAATCAGACATGGCAGTCACAGAATGGAAAGATGAACACAACTAAAGATCACCAAGCAATGTAAAAAGGCCAACACCATGAAAGGAAGGGACCACACTCAGCAAACAAAATAACCAATACCAGAGGGACTTGAGTTATTACAGAAAAGAGAGAAAGAAAAATACACATAATAACCTCAGAGGGGTAAGGGAAGATGTGAAGTCTATGACTCAGGAACAAGTGCTTGTGAAAAGTAACCAATTAGAGAGATCATGGGAAAGAACTGGGATTAAACATTCAATAGTTGGGTCTTAAAATCCGACATAAGGAGTTGGGATTTAATCCTAAGGTAATGGGAAGCCACGGAAGAGCTTTAAGCAGGACGGAGAGATGATCCACTTACATTTAAAGATCGTTCCAGTTGCTGTGTAAGGAAAGGACCGAAAAGGAACAAGAGTGGAAGGGAAGTCGTAGCCAGGTCAGGGTGCTGGGGGCTTGGACGAGGCTGATGGGAGTGGAGAAGGCAACGAGTGGCATGATCAGGATGCGAAGTGGAGGTGGAAGTGCCTGAGCTTACATTCGGATTGGACGGACATGGGGGCGAGATGAAAAATCTCTCCCGGGTTTCTGGCTTAAACAATCCTGTGAGTGGCTATGCCATTTCCTGAAATGGGGGAAACCGGGGATGAAGCGGCAGGAGGGGAGTAACCAAAAGTGTGCTTTTAGATGTGTTTAGTGTGACATACCCCAGAGTCTTCGAGTAGAAAGGCCATTGGATGTAGGTGTGCGGGGTCAGAGGAGAGATGTGGGCTGGGGCTATAAATGTGAGAGCTGTCAGTGTATGAATGGTACTGGAGCCACGGGGAGGGATGAGCCCACCTGGGGAAGGGAAAGAAAGGAAAAGTAGACCATGGAAGTCCGCCATCAACATGCTGAAGAGAGGTGGCACAGGCAGTAAAAACCACTGAGCAGAAACTGCAGAGCGTGTGTATCACGGAGCCAGGGGGATGGAGTGTTTCGAAGAAGAAATGACCCACTGTGTTGAATGCTTCTGAGAGGATAAGAGGACACAGGCATGTCTAATAAAGTTGGCAACATGAAAGTAGCTGGTGACCTTCACAACAGCAGTTCAAGGGTACTGGAAGTAAGGGTAGTGGTTGTGGGGAGTCAGATTGGAATGGGTTGAAGGGTGTCTGGGAAGAGGGGAAACAGACACGTGGGTAGACTTAAGTTTGGCTGTTTTAAAAAGGGTAGCTGTGGGGCTTCCCTGGTGGCGCAGTGGTTGGGAGTCCGCCTGCCAATGCAGGGGACAGGGGTTCGGGCCCTGGTCTGGGAGGTTCCCACACGCCGCGGAGCAACGAAGCCCGTGCGTCACAACTACTGAGCCTGCGCTCTAGAGTCCGCGAACCACAACTACCGAGGCCCGCGTGCCTGGAGCCCGAGCTCCGCAGCCCGTGCGTCACAACTACTGAGCCTGCGCTCAGGCGCCGGGGAACCACAACTACCGAGGCCCGCGTGCCTGGAGCCCGAGCTCCGCAACGGGAGAGGCCGCTGTGATGAGAAGCCCGCGCACCGCAAAGAGGAGTAGCCCCCGCTCTCCGCGACTAGAGAGAGCACGCATGCAGTGGGGAAGACCCAACACAGCCAAAAATAAATAAATAAATAAATTAAATAAATTAAAAAATAATAATAAAATAAAAAGGGTAGCTGTGAAGGGCAGAAGTGAGAAACAGGGAGTATGAGGGAGCCGGGGATGTGGGGTGCCCTTTTCTTTAGAACAGAAATAGCAGAGCACATTTGCCAAATGCCAATGTAAGGAGTATGAATTTACTTCCAAGTGCAGGTGGTAAGGATAACAGAAAGCCCCTGGGATGGTGACAGAAGAATATGACCAAGAGCTCATGTAGGAGGAGGAGTGGCTTTTGATGGAAAGGGGTCGCCTAAGTTCTCTGTTGTGAGAAGATAAAGGGGAATCCAGTCTGGAGGCTTCTATTTCCTCAGTGAAGCATGAGGCAAGGTCATCCTGAGCTGAGAGTGAATCAGGGGACTGGAGTTGTAAGGATGCTTCTATATCTGGAAGCAACAGTGAACATCACACATAACAATATTCCTGTTAAAATTACAAATGAGACAAAGATGACCAAAACATTGCTCTTATTTCAACACTAGTCTCAGGGCCTCACTAACAATAAAATGAGAAATAAAATGTATAAAAATGAAAAGAAGACTCAAAAGTCATTATTTGCAAACAGTATAATGGGCCACTTAAAAATTTCAATTAAAGCAGCTGAAAGGCTATTAGGATTAACAAGAGAATTCAGCAAGTTAGCTAGATGCAAAGGTTATTTATGTTAAGGAAAGAAAAATAAAAAACAACCCATTCACAACAGCAACATCTATAAATAACCAATAATACTTTCTTCACCCTGCTCTTAGCTATGGAGCAGAAGACAAGTAAAGCAGTTGCTGCCACAGTTCTTGTTTGTGGGTATCCCATCCACCAGACCACAGCACAGAAACTAAGGACCACAGACCAGCCTTCTTTCCGGGCATGCTACTTCTGGAAGGGAACAAGGTGAGAGCACCGGCTAAGTTAGGGTACTTTGGTTAAGGACGAATACAGCCACTCACTGAAGGAAAAAAACAAAACAAAACAAAACAAAACAAAAAAAACCTGGAAAGGCACCTTCTAAAATTAGAACTGTTGTTTGAAATTGTCACAAAAAGCAGCCAATACTTTTGCATTTGAAAAAAGCACAAACACCAATATTTTAAAACCCCGTGTCTGCGGGAACAAGCTGGGTGATCTTGTTCAAATTATCAGGTCTGTCTGCGCTTCAGTTGTCCCATCTGTAAAATGGGCACGATATAAAATTGAGTTAATTCATATAAAGAGTTTAACATAATGCCTAGTTAGTGGTAAGCACTCAATACACGTTAGTAGAATTAAGAAGACTGTCTGGGCCAGTCCTTTCTCCTCCTCAGAACTGCCTTCCCCAGTCCCTCCCCGGTCTTGGACCTTGGGACGTCCCGGAACGGATACTGGACGGCAGAACCGCTTTGCCCCCCTGCAGAGGAAGGCCAGCGGACCAGGGGTCGGGAGACTGGGCTGGACCCCAGGCTCGGCAAGCGAGCATAGATTTTTTCGTCTGTGAAATGGGCACGCGGACCCGGCCGTACCCACCTCACAGACAGGCTGCAGGGAGGCCGGCTCGGAGGGAAAGGGATCACGGCGTGTTACCTAAGGGTGGGCCCGGCCGGGGGGGCGCGGGAGCCGGGCTCGCGGCGCGCCTCCTTGGGGCTTCGGGCTTGCGGATCCGGCGGCGCGGGCCCATGGCTGGCGCTCAGGGTTGCGGACTGCGGCTCCTTCTCGGCCTTCCGGGTCTGGAGGCAGAGGCTGGGGTTCAGGGGAGGGCCAGCAGCGCCCTGGCCGCGTGCCCCCAGTGGGTGGCGTTCAAATTGCCCGCTCCGCCGCGAATTCACTGCCGGCGTTTTTTAAAAACCGAATCCAGCGACTCCCAGTGGCTGCCTCTGGAACGCTCCTGGCGCAGAGCGATTGCGGGGAGGACCAATGAGAGCACAGGATGAGAGGCTAACGGCGGCGGTGATAGGAGAAGACAGCGGGGACAAGGCGGATCGATGGTAGGAATCAGCCAATGGAGACTTGGAAAAGTGAAATGAGGCAGGAACTGCTCCAGTCCTCGGCTCACTGGGGCAGGACCGCATCTTTGATGGATCAGACCCAGGTCCTCCGGTTCTCTCTGGTCGACAAACGAAAGCTCGATTATGAAGATGTAGCTGGCGCGTGTGTAGAACGCGTTTCTCTAGACGAATCACCTTGCGCAAACATTTTATGTTTTGCTCTATCAGTCTTGAGGTGGGTTTTAAAGATGAGGAGACGGGCCCACGGAGAATGTGACCATCTCATGTCTCGCCTGAGACCAGGAGCAGCCCATGCATATGAATCAGAAGTCAGCTTCAGTGCATGAACCTTATTGATGATTAGGGTCCTGGGACAGCCAGGATGGGGCCTCTCACCATGAGGTCAAGCAGGGCAGGCCTCAGCTCTATTTTTGGATCATGCTCTCCAGCATTTTCCTAACAGGGAAATGACCCTTTCCCTTCCTGTTGGGGATAATATGTATTGAGGTCAAATGTAGAACTAGGTAGTTAGAATAAAGGGGATTTTATATTCTACACTTTTGTTTTTTTACATTATCTAGATGTTCTACAGTTAACATGCACTCTAATCAGGAAATATGTTACAAAATCAGTGATTTTATGGAACCCTTGTTCACTGCTGGTGGGAACGCAAAATGGTGCGGCTACAGTGGAAAACAGTATGGCAATTGGTCAAAAAATTAAACACAGAATTACCATATGATCCAGCAAGTCCACTTCTGGGTGTATATTCAATTAAAAGCAGGGGCTTGAACAGGTATTTGTACACTAAGGCTCATAGCAGTGTTATTCACAATAGTCAAAAATGTCCAAGTGAATGAATAGATAGATAAAATGTGGTATATACATACAATGGAATATTATTCAGCCTTATGAAGAAAGTAAATTTTGATACATATTACAACATGGATGAGTCTTGATGGTATTATGTTAAGCAAAATAAATGAGATACAAAAGGACCAATATTGTATGATTCCACTTACATGAGGTACCTAGAGTAGTCAAATTCATAGAGACAGAAAGGTAGGATGGTGGTTGCTAGGGGCTGGGGGAAGGGACGAGAGGGGAATTATTGTTTAATGGGTACAGAGTTTCAGTTTGGGAAGATGAAAAAGTTCTGGAGATGGGTGATGATTGCACAACAAATGTGAATGTTCTTAATGCCACTGAATTGTACACTTAATAATGGTCAATACGGTGAGTGTTATGTTGTGTATATTTCACCACAATAAGAAAGAAAAGGAGAGAAAGGGAGAAAGAAAGAGTGGGGGGGGGGGAAGGGAAGGGGAGGAAGGAAGGGAAAGGAATGTTTGGTTGAACCCATTGAGATGCAGTCAAATCACAGAAGGATAGTTGTTTTTCAGTGACACAGAGGCAAGAAGTCCTACTACACCAGTCCTCAGGACCCATTAATCAGACAAAGCAAATCTTCACTCATTAATTCTGCTTTAGACCTAGAGTGCCTTCTTTGCTCCATTAGAAATAAGTAGAAAACAAAGGTAGGAAATAGAGGGGTGGTTTTTTTTTTTTTTTTTAAGATTCCACATGTAAGTGAGATCGTACAGTATTGTCTTCCTCTGACTGACTTATTTCACTTAGCATAATGCCCTTGAGGTTCATCCATGTTGTTGCAGATGGCAAGATTTCTTTCTTTTTATGCCCAAATAATATTCCATTGTGAATATATATATATATATATATATATATATATATATGTATATATATATACACATACCACAATTTCTTTATCCGTTCATCCATTGATGAACACTTAGGTGTTTCCAAATTCTGGTTATTGTAAATAATGCTGAAATGAACACAAAGGTGCATATATCTTTTCAGGTTAGTGTTTTTGTTTCCTTTGAATACCCAGAAGTAGAATTGCTGAATCACATGGTCGTTTTATTTTTAATTTTTCCAGGAACCTCCATACAATTTTCCACAGTGGCTGCACTAATTTACTCCCACCAATAGCGCACAAGTCGTCCCTTTTCTCCACATCCTCCCCAAAACTTGTTATTTCTTGTCTTTTTCATAATAGCCATTCTAACAGATGTGAGGTGATATCTCACTGTGGTTTTGATTTGCATTTTCCTGATTAATGATGTTGAGCATCTCTTCATGTCCCTGTTGGGCATCTGTATGTCTTCTTCCGAACAATGTCTATTCAGATCATTTGACCATTTTTATTTTATTTTTGGCTGTGCCGCAGGACACGTGGGATCTTAGTTTCCTGACCAGGGATCGAACCCGTGCCCTCTGAATGGAAGTGCGGAGTCTTAACCACTGGACTGCCAGGGAAGTCCCCATTTGCCCATTTATAAATCGAATTGTTTATTTGTTCTCACCATTGAGTTGTATGCATTCTTTATATATTTTGGATATTAATCCATGATCAGATATATAATTTGCAAATGTTTTCTCCCATTCAGTAGGTTGCCTTTTTATTTTGTTGATGGCTCCCTTTGCTGTGCTGAAGCTTTTTAGTTTGAAATGGTCCTACTTATTTATTTTTGCTTTTGTTGCCTTTGCTTTTGGTGTCAGATTCAAAAAACCATTGTCAAGACCTATGTTAAGGAACTTGTTGTTTTCCTCTAAGGAAAACATAAGGCTTTCAGGCCTTATGTTCAAGTCTTTAGTCCATTTTGAGTTAATTTTTGTGTATAGTGTAAGACAGTGGTCCAGTTTCATTCTTTTGCATGTTGCTGTCCAGTTTTCCCAACACCATTTACTAAAGAGACGGTTCTTTCCCCATTGTATAGTCTTGGCTCCTTTGTCATAAATTAATTGACCATATATGTGCAGGTTTATTTCTGGGCTCTCTATTCTGTTCCATTAATCTATGCATCTGTTTTTAGGCCAATACCATACTGTTTTAATTATTATAGCTTTGTAGTCTAGTTTGAAATCAGGGAATGTGATGCCTTCAGTTCTGTTCTTCTCTCTCAAGATTGCATTGGCTATTTGGGGTCTTTTGTGGTTCCTTACACATTCTGGATTTTTTGTTCTATTTCTGTGAAGAATGCCATTGGAGTTTTGTAGAATTGAATCTGATAGGCATTGAATCTGTAGATTGCTTTGGATGGTATGAACATTTTAACAATATTAATTCTTCCAATCCACGAACGTGGAATATCTTTCCATTTATTTGTGTCTCCAATTTCTTTCATTAATGTCTTGTAGTTTTCAGTATACAGGTCTTTTGCCTCCTTGGTTAAATTTATTCCTGGGTATTTTATCTTTTTGATGCAATTGTAAATGGGATTGTTTTCTTAATTTCTCTTTCTGATAGTTTGTTAGTGTATATAAATGCAACAGATTTTTGTGTATTGATTTTGTATCCTGCAACTTTACTGAATTTGTTTTTTAGTTCTAACAGTTTTTTGGTGGTGTCTTTAAGGTTCTCTCTATATAATATGTCATTTGCAAATCGTGAGTTTTTCTTCCTCCTTTCCAACTTGGATCCTTTCCTTTCTTTCTCTTGCCTAATTGCTTTATCTAGGGCTTCCAATACTATGTTGAAAAAAGTGGCAAGAGTGGGAAGAACTGTCTCATTCCCAATCTTAGAGTTAAAGCTTTCAGCTTTTTTCATCATTCAGTGTGATGTTAGCTGTGGGCTTGTAATATATGGCCTTTATTATGTTGAGATACATTCCCTCTATACCCACTTTGTTGAGAGTTTTTATCATAAATGGATGTTGAATTTTGTCAAATGCTTTTTCTGCATCTATGAGATGATCATATGTTTTTATCCTTTATTTTGTAAATGTGGTGTATCACACTGACTGATTTGCAGATGTGGAAACATCCTTGCATCTCTGGAATAAATCCCACCTGATCATGGTGAGAGGTAACATCACTTGTCCAAAGCCACCCAGTGAATGGAGAGATGGAGCTGAGGACACATATCTCTGGCCCCCCCTAAACCACATGGCTGTTTGCTCCAATCCTCCTACCATCCTCTGATCTCCTTGAGTGCTGTTTGCTTGTTAAAGTACAGAGACCTTTGGACAGAGCGAAGGCAAATGGAACCACCTGGCACGGTCCTAAACCTCTTGTGGGCAGCAAGCCTGAGGGCTACTCCAGGACCTGGATGGCAGTCCTGGAGGACACCCCAGCCCCAGGGTCCCCCAGGACCACTATGAATGGGGCAGGAACTGGTCAGTTCACTACAGTGCAGATGGCCTGAATTACACTGTATTTGAACTGATGTTTACAGAAGTCTGTTATCAGTCAATTCTAATTTGGGGTCCAGGGCCCCATTATTCCACTCAGAGCAGTAGGCCACAGCTACAGACATCCCTCATAACCCTCTAGACTCAGCAGGAGAGTGGAGATTCTTTCCCCCTCCACCCCCATTACCAGCATGACACAGCATGGCCTCTCAAACTCATCCTCAGAAGCACCCCAGACACTAGGATAGAGAGGACACACCTCCAGGGTCTGGAAGGGTACTTAGGGTCAACATAAAAATTTTACGAGGCATCCTGTTTTATCTTATGATCGATGCGAAGTTTACACTCTACTCCACAATGGTATGTTTTGTTTTGTTTTGTTTTGTTTTTTACACAATGGTATGTTTTAACAAAACATTTCTCCCCCTCCGAGCAAAACCGATGCTCCACACCATGGCTCTGCTGGGACTTCAATGCCTGACAGACCACCCTAGTGGGCAGTGCTGCCTTACAGGACGCTCCACTGTACGTTGGCATTTACAGCCACCTTCCATTTACGTCGTAGGTAATATTCACAGCCATCCTGTGAGATGCAGTCTTCCCCATTTTACAGATGCGAAGACCCACAGCTCCAGGAGATAAAGCAAGCTGCCTGAGTGGGTGGCAGGCCTGACCATAAGTGCCCTCCCCATCCTCTGCCGCCTCTCACTACTGAAGTCCCATTACAATCCCCCCAACCCTTCAATGCTAAAATCCACATGTGATTTCTATGCCTAGGTACTTTACAGCTTTTCCATCCAACGTTCTAGACGTTACCTCCAGGAATGTCCTAACCCTTGTGCTCCTTCCCTCTTATTAAAGAAAAAAGTCCACACTGCCAACTCCCCTCTTCTTTTTAAAAATAAAATGCCTGGAACAACACTGTAAGGCCCCAGTTTTTTGGACAAAGCAGCTATAGCAGCCACCACCCTCAATCTCCATTTCCTTCTTCCTGTGACACACACCGCGGCCCAGAGGAGCTCAGGGCCCCCCAAGACTCGGAGCTGGTGGGATGGAGAGGCCTTTCTCTCCCGACGGTAAGAACCTGCTGGATTCCCACAGCCCGAGGGCTTTGCTTGTCAGAGATCCCTTCTCCCAGGATCTATTTTAAGGAAGGCATTTGGTATTTGTTTCACGATTGAGCTGCCCAGGAAAGTGATCTGCCACAGAGTGAGGACCACTGGAATGAAGGGCCGCTCAGCTCCCTGGGGTCCCTGCTGCCAGTCCCCTCTCTTCAGGGTCGGGTTACTGGGAGGATAACAGCACAAGATGCCTCTCTCCCAGCCACAGGAAGTACCCCCAAAGATCTCAGAGACTCTTATGGTAAGTGGGCCCACAGGTTTGGAATCAGGCAAACCCAGCTTGAAATACCGGCTCCAAGAGGAAGTCACTTGACCTTCTCTGGGCCACACTTTTCTCACCTGCATCCACCTGTGCAGGCTGTTATGCAAGAGAATGAAAGCTAAGCACTTAACATAACGCCTGGGATACCAGCATCACTCTCAACGGTAGACTCCCGGTAAACCCATCACCTTGGAGGGTTCTCCATGGTGTCTGTTGGGTTGCTGGGGGTGAGGCAGAACTCCAGAAGTGCTCTACAACCCAGCCAACTGCCTGGTGGTGTGGCTGCACGGCCAGAGCCCATGGCAGGAGAGCCCTTTTGCCAAACAACTTATAACTCTGGGACTCAAGTTTCCTCATCTTTAAAATGGAAGGTGAAGAGTTCATAAAAGCTATTATCAAGGGCTTCCCTGAAATCCCCCTGTAACTTCTCCCAGGTGGGGAGGACTTCAAGGTGTGAGCAAGGACGCCAGAGCAGGCGTGGGGAGGAGCACCGTGGGCAGGGGGCATCTTCAATAAACGGGCTGTCACTCCTTCCCCAGGTTGGTCAAAACCACAGGCCTGCAGAATGGGCCCGGGGGTGGGGGGGGGGGGGGCAGGGCGAGGCCTCGGGGGCAGGGCACTTGAGGTTCACCAGCCCACGTGGCCTCAGCCTCGGGGTGCACAAGGAGCGTCCAGGTGGCAGCAGAGCAGGAGGTTCAGCTGGCATCGTTGATGGCAGTCCGAGGGCCCCCCAGCAGTCTCTCATGCTCGCCCTCCTCTGCCGGGGGCCGGCCCCTGGACAGGCGGCTCAGTAGCAGGCGGTGCAGCCCGTTGTAGAGGGCTGTGCCCGTCAGGAGGATGAGGAAGCCAAGGATCTGCAGCGGGTGGAAGGCCTCCCAGCCCAGCATCAGGCTCAGCGCCCAGATGGCAATGGTGCGCAGGCTGTCCAGCACCATTCGGGTGGTGGCGCTCAGCTCCTTGGTGATGCTGATACCGGCAAAGTTGAAGAAGGCGATGCTGCTGCTGTTGCCCAGCAGCGCCAGCGCGATGAGTGGCTGTTGGCCCACCTGGCAGAAGGCGTCCAGTGCGTCCTCCAGCGTCCCACGAGGGTTGCCACTGAAGGAACCAGCGGGGATGTAGAACATGGGCACCAGCAGCAGGAAGAGGATCACGAAGCCAAAGAGGCCTGTGGGAGTGGAGGGAGCACGTCACGCTCTCCGCTGGGCCCCCAGCCCCGGCGGCGTGCCCTGGCCCACCCAGCCGGGCTCCGCTGACCTCCCAGCCACCCCTCCGAGTCGCCCTCGCACCAGCTCCTTCCTTCCAGCTCCTGGAGCCGTTCTGCTCATTAGGAGCTACAATGGCCTACTGAATGGGCTCTGACGGCCCCTTTTCCACTTTAATCCATGTCTTCTGACCGGACCAAGAATAGGAAATACATTTTATATTGTGACCAGTGCACAGACATGTACACATACTTTCACGAAACGACAGCTACCCTTACAATGTACGATGCTTTCTGACACTTTTAAAACTCAATTCTATTCATTGACAAAAGGATTGCCGGCTGCAAGCACGACACTGCTCTCACAAGTGTGGAAAGACAGCTCTCTAACTCAGTGCTGTTGGTGTGTGACAAGGAGCTGGGCCAGAATCTAAATCAAGGCACTGCTTCACTCAGAAAGTCCCGCTGGGAAAAAAAAGTGAGTGGAAGCAATCAGTATGCTTGATGACACAGCTGATTTAGGTGGTTAACGTTCTGCCGTAAGCCCTCAGCTCACGGTGCAACAGGCACCAACAGATCCCCGACAAGCCCGTAGGTCACACTTCGGTAGCACTGCTCTAATCCGCCCTGCTAGTTCCATAATTTTAAAGCATCATTTTGACTTACTTCCCTGCTCAAAAACCTTTGGTGGCTCTTCCCTGCCTGTCATTTAAAGTCTAAATCCACTTGCCTGATGTTCCAAGGTTCTCCAAGATATGACCCTGACATATTCAATTCCTGATCATTTCCCCTACATCAAACCTGTACCTCCTCCAAACTATTCCTCACTGGTTTCCAAACTCACATCCAGCTCCCCATGTCTCCACTCTGCCTGGAGTTCCCTCCTGTCCATTCTTGCTTCCTGAAATCTGTAGCGCAAATGCCACCTTCCCTGGGCCATGACACTCAGATATGCTTGGCAAGTGAAGCGTCACTTGAGTAAAAGCGGGCCGAGCTAAAACGCACTGCCTGCTCCTTTCTTGCTGGTCGGTTCCTCTAGAGCGGGGCTTGCGTCTCATTCATCTTCGTCCCTGTCCTCCCTTAGCTCCTGGCAGAGTGCACGGCAGCTGTCAGGGTATTTATCAACACGAACATCGTGAAGGGAGCGAGGAAGGAGGGCGGGAGGCTCGCCCTTCCCAGAGGCCCCCAGCACCTCGCCAGGCGCCCTCACTACATCCCCTCGATGTGCCGCCCCGCAGGGCGCACTCCACCCAGCGCCCTCCTGCCAGCCTGTGTTCACACGCACCCTCAGTGCCGACTGCCCGCAGTGGGTGCACGTTGTGCTTGTAGACAAACTTCTCCTCCAGCACCATCTGGATGGAGACGATGATCTGGGCCATGATGATCAGCAGGTCCCCTGTGGGAAAGGAGGGGCCCAGAGTGAGGCCAGGCTGAGGCAGACATCTCGGCCCACGGAAACCTAAGAGCCCCTGCAGCCCCTGACTCCTCAGGGCACCGTACAGTGCACGAGGTCCGGCCACGACAGCCCCCGCGCCTGACCTCCTGGCCCCTGAGGGGTGAGGCAGGCCACCAGGGAAGGCACTGTCAGCCCCTCTGGGCTAAGGCTCCGGAAGGTCCAGGGGTCTGCCTGGGCCTGAGGGCTGCACAACTGGGGTAAGCAGGTCTTTTGAGAAGCAACAGGCTCCGAGATGGACATTTCTGGTTTAATCCTGCCATGCGTGAGCAGGGTGGCCACTTCACTGTAAAATGGGCTGCAGTGCGTCCTTTCCGGGACCGTGAGGATGAGTGATGACGAGCACAGTGCGAAGCGCTGGTTGCGCGCTCGGTAAGTGCTCAGTCAACATTCATTCCTTCCCTCTTCCGGATCCTGCGGTCTGTGTGGCTGTTAAGTGCATCGCAGAATTAGCCCTCTCCTTCCTCGCACCTCCCCGCTCCTCACCCACCTCTCCCTCACGCTGCTCGTCCCCTGCTGGTCTTCCCTACA